TTTGTCCTATCTTGATCTAAAGAAACAAAAATTATCCCATCTCTCCCATGGGGTTAGGTAGAATGAGATTTAATCTTTGACCGACTTCAAACGAAATCTCTCTCTTGTCCCTTTTTCCGCCCACGCTGTCATCATAATCACCTTCCCAACTCTCCTCATCTCACCGATCGTCGTCATAGCTAATGCCATATAATTAAAAGCTTTTTTGTGCATTCTGACTCTTCATCCTTTCCAAACTCTCTCACACAAATCAAAAGAAAGAACCAATCTTATGGCGTCGCCTCCTGGACCTTACTCCAACACCAACATTCTCGCTCAAGTACGTAATTCAGTTTTCCTTTGTTTGGATCCCTAGAATATGTGGGAAAAAGAAACTATCAAACAAATCTCACATCCCTTCTTACTACTTAACTAGATTTACTCCTTCCATACTATAGAAAAAGAATTTGTAAAGTATTTGGTTGTTTAACATTTTATTATTAACTGATTTATTATTTGATTTGATCATTGGGTGTTCCAGCAAACAGGTTGCTCAAGTATCTAGTTTCTCCTTTGGAGTCAATTTATGAGAGCATCAAACTCAAATATCTGAAGGTAATCTTTTTATTTTCCTTTTTAATATGCTGAAACATGAATGGACTTTTATACTAATGTTGTCCATGTTTTCTTTGACTTATTAGTTATATATGTCATTATGATTCCTTTTTTGACAGTTGACTATATAAGCAATTTTTTAGTTTCAGTTCTTAGCAATTTATTTAGTTTAGATATGCAATCTGGGTCTTTATTTAGTTGAAAGTCAATTTTATTGCATTAATTAATGGAAACTTTTGTTAATGGTTATGAATAATGTTACAGGTCTTACAATGTGGTAAATGTAAGAAACATGAACGTGCTAGGGTGAGATGGAATGATCTAATCAATTATGGGATTTGTGTTGGGTGGTTTGTATGCTTATAGCATTTCCATTGGTATAATACACACTAAATAACTACAATTTGCCAGAACAAATTAAGATCTTAGAAGTATGAAAAATGCAATTGACTTCAAGACTTGAGAAATATAAGAGATGTTGTATGCATACCATTTAGGAATGCCTATTTCAGATTATAGCATTATTGTATGGCTTATTTTGCTTGTAACATAGGATTGGTGTTTTTATTTATTACGTTTGGGTTTAATTCCTCTTGGTTCATTTTGCTGGATTCTTTTGAAAAGGGTAAAAGTAGATGAATTGCTATATTTCACTAGATGCTACTACTAGAACAATGCCATGGTGTCTTCCCCGGAGGCAGTCCTTTTTTCAGATTTCAAGCTACTATCTAATTCCTTGTATTGTGATCTTGCTAAAAGAAATTTACGGTTACTTTATTAGGTCTGAGCAACTGTCTCAACATTGAATTACTCCACAGGGACTTGCCAAATCTACTTGTGAATTGCTTTTGTTGCATTTTTCTTCTTCAAGTTTTATTTTATTGTAATGTCAAACATGAATGAATGGATTTTCTTTTGTTAAATTTTTGTTGGGTATTGGTTTTTTGAATTTGCCATTGTTTTTGCTTGATTTGGTATGGAAAAGTTGGAATTTTTAGTTGTTGGGTGGCTGTTATCTGTGCTCTTGTTCATACTTGAATTGGAGTTCATGTGTTTTGAGAGACTAGAATGTATTGAGTAATCCAATTGTTTGATGTAAATTTGATGGATTTTATAATTCAAGCTATTTTTATTTTTAGCAAGATAGTGTTTCTAACTAAAATTTACTTGGGATATTGATTCAATTCTAGTTTCAACTATACTACAAGAGTTGGGTTTAGGAAATGTTAAAACTCACAGTTATAATAAACCGTTTCCTGTGTGGTTTTAACATGGTGTAGTAATACAATACAAAACACTTTGCTTTTTTCCCTAAATTCTCTTGTCATTAGTTTTGATATTTGAATTTGAAATGTTAGGGTTTTTATTCCAATTCCTTGTGGAATGGCTTAGTTTTGGTTACTGAAGTTTGATTTAGTTGCTTGTTTAATGTCAACTCTTTGCATTTCTATTTTGTAGGAAAAACGAACTCCTTGGATTGGTTTAGTAACCATTAGAATCGGAAAATTTTCAATTGTAATTTCTTGTTATTTTAGGAAATTTTTTTATCTATTTGTATTTAATAATAAAATAAAGTATAGATGACTATAAATTGGAATTTTTAAGACTTTGTATTTTGTATTTTTATGTGAGTGGATATGAAGAACATAAAAATGGATATTTTGCTTTGGCATTTATATTAATTATTTTGGTGACTTTGGTATCTCAATTTCACCATATTAACTTTTTAGGTATTTTCTTTTAATTTTGTTCTTCAAGATTCAAATATAATATTTTTTAATGAATTATTTTGATAAATTTAACTTAAAATGTTTTTATTTTTTTTAATAAGTCAAAATGTATTAATATGGAGTATAAAGGGTACCCCAACTCATAAACAAATTTTATATAAGAGTTGTTTTCTCATGCAAAGAACTTAAAATTTTTTTTATATTATATAAATAAATTTCTTTAGTGGACTTTTTTAATAAATTTTTTTATAAATTAACATGTTTTTTAGGTTTATAGATTTTTTGTTTTATATAGATAAAGTTTGGTAATTATTAAAAATTTTTAAATATTTTTTATGTTGGCAAATATTAGTGACTTTGAAAATTTTTAAATATTTTAATTATGAGCATTTTTATTTATATACATAAATTATGAAAATAATCTCGTGTAATATTGCTCATTGCCAAATTAAGTATGAGATAAATTTTATATCCAATCTAAAGAAACACCAAATATGAGATTATATTTTATTATCTTATCTAATCCAATCCAAAGAAACACCAAAATTGAGATTAGGTTTTATCATCTTATCTAAAGCAATTCAATTCAATTTCATCTTATTGACTTTATCAATCTAATCTCATGTTGTACTCCAAACATGCTCTAAAAGAACTCTAAATATACTAAAGATTCTTTGGATTAAATCTATCTATATTTATATAAAATGTTACCCTATATATTAATTAGGGTACACATTTAACAATTACTTAAAAAAAAAAAAGAGAGAGAGAAAAAGAGATGCATTGAAAGGGAGTAATACACATTGTTATTATTATTATTATTATTTGTTACATGCATATTAAATTGAAAAAAAAAAGATGTGTCTTTTTGTTTTCTTTTTCATGTAAAAACCCAATTAAGATTTAATGTAAATATAAAACTTTTTATATTTAACAACTATTTATTAAAATATTATTTATCTTTATTATATTTAAATTTTAGCATTAAATCCAAATAAAAGTATTTATAATAATTAAAACTCTTAATCTTTTTTTTTTCTAAGTCTATAAAAGACTATAAAATTAAAATCTCCAAGCTCCAAAAGTAAGTGTTTTAGTTAATAGTGTTTTCGAATTCATGAAAGCTCTCACCCATGTTACCCATCTAAATTAAATCAATAAGTTAACATTTAGTTCAAATATATCTATATCACTTTTAAAGATAACTTCATTTGGTTTTGATATATACTTGAAATGTGTAGTTAATATTTATTTTTTATTATAAATTTTAGGTTGATTTTTTATCATATGCTTTAACTTTAAAGATTGTAAAGAAGGGAAAAGCATCCAAATTAATAAAATACAAATATCATGCCGTGCTATTGTAAAAATTGAGGGGCAAGATATGGAGCAAAACTTTGGATGTAGAAAGGCAACAAAATATAACAGTTAATGAATAGTGCAAAAGCAAATGACTAGTGCAAAAGCCAATGACTAGTACAAAAAAAGTTTTAATTTTATTTTTAAAGGCAATTTATATTTTGTTTTTAGGTGTATATATATTATATGTGTATTAAAATTCTCAATTTATAGTCTTTTAATTTTTTTTATAAAAATAGTGATAACTAATATAGTTTTTTTAAAATATTAAAAGGTTAAATTTATATGAGGTTGGTGTATATGAGTATTAATCCCAAAAATAATTAGACTTTTAACTTATATTTGCAAAATGAAAACTCATCTTATTAAATATTAATATCTATATTTGAAAGCCCATTATAACCCATTATATATTTTAATAAAATTATTTTTTAAATCTAAATATTAATATTTAATAAGATAATTTTTTTTAAAATTTTGAGTGGAATTTTAACTAAATAAAATGATGTAGTTTAAAATTGAAACTCCAATTATTTTTAAAAATTGGGACTGATATATATTTGTTTGTAATTTATGTCTATAACTATCTATATTTATAATTATCTACCTACGTATAATTCAATCAATCAATTAATCAATCAATCAATCAATATACAATATAAATGGTACTTTAAGTATTAATTAAACACTAATTTTGTTATTTTATTTTCATTATAAAAAAATAAATTTGTTAAAAAAAAGAATATATATTAATTTTACATAAAAATATAACAAATGAGATTAATAATTTAGTTCATATTTTTTTTATTTTCTTCAATTTCTTATCTTTTTCTTAATTATTTTTATCGTTATTATTATTACATATATGTATTAAATTAAAGGAATAGAAATAGAATCCAGTTTTTATTAAGATAATAATAAATTATAAAATTATAATAAACAATAAATATTTGTAAAATACTAAAAATTTTAAATGACCCAAATTTATTTTTACCATTTTAAAATTATGTACTTTTTCTTTTCATCTTTCTTTTATATAAAAAATCTTATGGGATGAATTAAAGGTAGGTGTACAAGAGCATAGAAAGTAAAAGATCATGAATATACAAAAATTCAATTATAATATATTTAAGTAATAAAAAAATGTAATTTCAATGAGAATTATTATATTATAATTGATAATGGAAGATCAAGAGGCACGTAATTAATAATGCAACATATAAATGATAATTATTGTATTATTTCAATATTAAGTTCAAAAATAATGATAAAGAAAAAAAAATTAAAATAATTTATTAATAATTTGGATATGGTTTATCTCTATATTAATGCATGAGATAATATGCAAAAGATTCAATTTATTATTATTATTATTATTTAATATTACTATTATTACTTAATTCAAAGATAGAAGTAAAGTATGGAAGACAAAAGGCATGTATAAACAAAAATTTCTTAATAAAAATGTAATTTTAAATTTTCAATTGTAATTATTGTATTATAATTAGTGAAAAATGTGATTATTATATCATGATTTGTTGTTAACGACAAAAGGCAACATGATATAAATGACAGTTATTGATATTGCAACATCAACGGTCAATAATATAGGAACACATGAAAAAAACACAAACAACATATAACCTCTTTATAAGTAAAAAAATAGAATAAAATAAAACTAATATGACTAATCTAAATGAGACTACAAAACCAATAAGTTAAGCAACATAATGTAATCAAATAAATAAATGACAAAAAGTTTTGAATCTATTATGTAATTCAAAATTAAATAAATAAATAATAAGATTTCAAATCTCAATCAAATAAAAAAGGATTATTATAACTAAAATTAGTTTATGCCTAGGATGAATTACTAAAAATTGGGTAAAAATATATATAGATAAAACAAAATTGACAATATTTAATATTATTGTAATACCCCAAAATTTTTAGAGCATTAAAGTGTGAGTTAGATACCTAATTGTGAAGAAATATCATTAATGAATGTAATAGCAAAAATTTTCAAAGTTCAGGGACTAAAAAGAAAGGAAATTAGGATAAGTATCAGCTGCTTTCCTTTTTTTTTTTTCCCTCATCAGACCCGCGTGTTTCTGCTCCTCTTCTTCTTCTCCCGACAGCCCCCCCAAGCCCCTCTAGCCACCGACTCATTTCTTTGAGAAAATTGGTGGCAAAGCTTGAATTTTCTCCTTCTTTCTTGTTCAATCACAAGATTTGGAGCTTAGAATTCTCTCTCTCAACCTAGAAATTTCCGGATCTGCTCTGCTCTTCCTCCCCTGTCCACCAGTGCTGCTAGGCACGAAATTCTTGGCTTTTTCGGGTAAGCCACAGCCATGAACTTCATCTTTTCAGCTTGATTTAGGCTGGGTTTACTTTAATTGCTTTTATTTCCTTCCAATTTCTGGTAGCCCATGAGCCCCCTGCAGAATTGCCGCCGGCTTCTTCCCTCCGCCAGGTCCGGTTCTGCAGCTGGATGGAAATTTTGGGTAAGTTGACAGCTCCTCCAAGTCCAAATTATCCGTGTAGTTGCTGCCTTGTGTTGATTGGATTTTTTGCTTTTGAATTGCCCTTTTTGTTATCCGAAATGGAAGAAATTTAGGTGAAATTGTGCTGGAAGGTGGAATGAATTTTGGTAGCTTTAAGTGGGTTTTTGTTTAATTTAAGTGGAGGTTAGCTTGAGTTGGTTGCTGTGATATTAATTGTGGAAGAATCCTATGACATTCCGTGACTTGTTGTTTTGGCCAAAGCTCGGTTTCTCCATGGCTGTCCGTGGAATTGGAAACCATTTATATGTGTGATTGTATATATATATATATACACACAATCCGATTGTGATGCCCAAAATTGGATGAAATAAATAAATAAAGAAAAGAAATAAAATTTCCTTATGGGGTTAATTGTCGATAACATTAGAAAGGATTAAATAGGTAGTTTTTATATGGTTATTAATTCTGGAATATTTTGGCTAGGTTCTTGAATATTCTATCACCCTAGCACTTGGAGTGAGTCTTCGGTTTTGTGCGAGTAAGGTAAGTAAATTATGGTAAAGCCCTTTGATTTTAAAACATTATTTAAATTGTTTTTGAGATGGTGGCAAGGTTTAAATTGATTTTATCAGCATTTAAGTGTGATTAAACTGAAATGAAAATTGTGATGATTTTTATGAAAATTATTGTTTTGTGAAATTGAGCAGGATTGAAATAAAATTGTTTTCATTTGCATTGAGTAAAGCATGCCTATTTGGAATTGACTGAACTGGCTTGATGAACTGAGAATTTTGTAAATGATGAGTTTTTTTGTTAAATCCATGCTCACATGGAAATTTTTTGGTTTATTTCTGAAATTTGAGATTTATGGTGAATTATGGATTTTTTGTAAATTTTGCATGGTTTTGTTTCTGATATAGTCATGATTACTGACGCCTGTTAGTTGGAGTTTGCAAATGATAGCACATGTCGACATGTATTTTTGTAGAACCGGTTCATCTTGCCAATGGGGTTAAACATTGGTAATTACTGACGCCTGTCAGTGGGAGTTTGTTAAACACTGGTACTACTGCCAATGGGCGAATACATTGGTAATTACTGACACCTGCCAGTGGGAGTTTGTTAAACACTGGTACCATTACTGACGCCTGCCAGTGGGAGTTTGTTAAACACTGGTACTTCTGTAACTCTGCCAATGGGGTTAAACATTGGTTATTACTGACGCCTGCCAGTGGGAGTTGTTAAACACTGGCCATGACTTATAGATGAGACTACTACTGAATTTTCTCTGCATTAACGGTTTGTTATTGAACGCTTTGCTATTGAACTGAATCTGCATACGGTTTGTCATTGAACGCTTTACTATTGAACTGAATCTAATTCTGCATACGGTTTGTCATTGAATGCTTTGGTACTGAACTGAACTTGATTCTACATTAACGGTTTATCATTGAAAGTTCTGTTATGCTTACATGGTTTATCTGATATGCTTAAATTTTACCTAAGGGCTATCCATATTTACTTATTGAGTTATCTCATAGTTTTCCTTGTCCACCATTTCAGGAAGCGAAATAGAGGACAGGGAAAACAAGGGGGGTGACGAGGTAGAAGGCTAGCCATTCTAATTGGATATGAAATTTTAGATTTTATCATTCTTTTGTAAGGTAGATTTTATTCTTGAGATGTTGTGATTTGAATAAATTCCAAGCCTTGTGCACTTGTGGGACCCATTTCACGAGTGCACGGCGTCTGCTATATCCCTGGATTTGGGTTCTGGGGTGTGACAATTATAAAATCAAAATAATCTCAAACTTTTGATCATTTGAAAAAATTTTAAAACTCTAATTTACAATATATGAGAGCACTATTTTTTAAAATGGAAAACACAAAAAAAAATATTTATACTAATTATCAACTGCAATTAGAATTTTTTAACTAAAAAATTATTGTAAAATTTAAGAGTCGATAAAATATAGTATGAAATCTAAAGTCTAATATAAAAAGTTAAAGCAAAATTTGTGTAAAAAGAATTTTTTTGTGGGGGGTTCAGATAGTGTCATGCCCCAGAACACAATTCGGGGACGTGACAGACGCCGTGCACTTGTAAAAGGATCCCATAAATGCACAATGCTTGAAACTTATCATACCACAATCTGATGCCACAAAATCTGAAGATAAAATTTTAAAATTTGCCCTAATATCATAAAATCTCCAAATAAAGTCTAGCTTACAAGATCATAATTTATATCTAAAATCCATATTCAATTTACAAGATGGCTAGCCTTCTATTTCGTCACTTCCCTCGTTTTTTCCTATCCTTGACTTCGTTTCCTGAAATGGTGGACAAAGAAAAACTATGAGATAACTTAGTAAGTAAATATGGATAGCCCTTGGGTAAAATTTTAGCATGCCTGATAAATAGTTTACGTAACAAAACATTCAATGATAAATCGTTAATGCAAAATCAAATTCAATTCAATAGCAAAGCGTTCAACGACAAACCGTTAATGCAGAATCAGATTCAGTTCAATAGCAAAGCGTTCAATGACAAACCGTTAATGCAGAGGAAAATTCAATAGTAGTCTCATCCATAAGTTATGGTCAGTGTTTAACAAACTCCTACTGGCAAGCATCAGTAATTACCAATGTATTCGCCCATTGGCAGGCGTCAGTAGTACCAGTGTTTAACAAACTCCCATTGGCAAGCGTCAGTAATTACTAATGTATTATCCCATTGGCAAGATTACAGAATGGACTGGTCATATCAATAAACATGTCGACATATGCTAGCATTTGCAAACTCCCATTGGCGGGTGTTAGTAATCATGACTATATCAGAGACAAAACCATGCAGGATTTACAGAAAAATCCGTAATTCACAATCAATCTCAAATTTCAGAAATAAACCGGAAAATTTCCATGTGAACATGGATTTAATAGAAAACTCAGAATTTACAAAATTCTCAGTTCATCAAAGCAGTTCAGTCAATTCCAAGTAGGCATGCTCTACTCAATGCAAATGAAAACAATTTCATTTCAAACCAATCACGCTCGGTGCAAATAAAATCAATTTAAAATCAATTTAAACCTTGCCACCATCTCAAAAACAATTTAAAACATGCTTTAAAATCAAAGAGTATTACCATAATTTACTTACCTCACTCAAATAAGACAGAAAACTCATGTTCAACTTATGCTTATCAACACCTCACCGATAATAAATCTGCAAAACCACCACCACCATTATCAACACACTAATTGCCGCTGCTGCCTTCCTGTTCACATTACACCCACACATCTATCACCATCCATGAACCAAACCAAAGCCTCATTGTTCCCTCCCAATTGGAACACAAGATTCCTAGGGAAAAGAACATAACATTCAACAAACAATTAATTTACAAATTCAAGCATCTCCTAGAACAACCATTACCCCCATCAATGCCATAATTATTTCCTTATTATTATTTTTATTTCCAAGATTTGAGCACTAAATCAGATTGTGCATATATATCTATATATGCTCACAAACACCTATGCAAAATTTTCGCACTCCCACGGACAAAGGAAATGGAAAGAAAAAAACCGAGCAACAGGGCTTTTTATTCAAAATTTATCTTGGCAAAACAGTGGCTAAAACACACAGGATTTTCATATAAACATCACAGCAATGGATCAAGCTAATTCTACCTTAATCAAGCTAAAAAAATGGTTTAAGGCTGCTGCAATATTTCTCAATCTCACGGGCAGCACATGGAGGAACTGGACTTTGCAAAGCAATAGCTAATTCATGGGATTTTTCATACAAAACCTCACATCAGCTAAATCAAGCCATTTCTACCTTAATTAAGCTTAATTATGCTCTAATTGCTACCGGAGTTCATCCCCATTTTTCAGCAGATTTCGGACAACACAGAGCATCAACTAAATGGACAAAACCCAGCAATTAAATGGGTAAT